CTGCCCCCGTTTTTTAATTATAATGAAAAGAAAATGGCACCCAGAGCAGTGTAGAGTGCCAAAAAAGATAGAATGTAGATTATGTGACTATTATTTTCATTAAACCTTTTCATGAGGTTGCCTGTGGTTCCCAGACCTCCTGAGGTTGCTTACCTTGCATATTCATTTTTTTATTATACTATTGCTATGTTTCTGCACAATATCCAAAGCTTCCTATTTGTTCTTATTATCCTGAAAATCACCATGAGAGTGCTTCCAATGTCTTTAAAATCTACTGAATAAATTAATAGTTATGTAAGCTGACAGTTTAGCTTTACCAAAGCCAGGAGTTTATATGGCAATTAATTTAATACTGTACAAAACAAGAACACAGTCAACACTGAGGACCAATTAAAAGCATTCTGGGAGCTAGCAAAACTTATAACAAAAGCAACTGCAATATAGGTATGTAAGACCATCATTTCTTTTGCCCCAGGTGGCATAACTATTAATGGAAAAATCCTGACATCTCCTTACAAACATGCACATTTAATATGTCCTCAAATACTTCCCCTGAAGAGGATAGCGCCCAGGCTATTCCCATAAAAAGAACACTGCTGGCACATAGATATGTTTTCCCTCTCTTTCTATGACCAAAGAAGTAATATTTTCATTTAAAAAATAGAAACTTGTCACATTTCAATGACTGGTCAGGTAAACTACTTTTGCAGTGTTTAATTTTTGCAAAAAGCCTTGCATTAACTGCAATCCAAGTGATAAAAACTGTCGTGGATATAAACGTGGGCAAAAGGCAAGTCAGTTTCATTGGCTAAGCTGCAAAAAATATAGGAAAGAAACAAGAATGTGTTATAAAAGGCATATGAGAAAGACAAGAAGCATGACTGCAAACATCTAATTTAACTAACAGCTCATCAAACTCTGGTGTACTTAACTGTTTGAAGATGGAAAATATTACAGAGCGTTATGCACTGGTAGTACAGCTGAGATGGCTCAAGAGGAAAAGCCTCAAATATTTTCGGCTGTAGCTCCTGCAGTAACCTTGACAATGTATATACAAATTGAAGGGCAATATTCTCCACTCTACATTCACCTTCTTTTCTGTTCATTCCTTCCTATGCCATGCAACACTACTAGTCCCACATAGGCTCCCCTGCTCATAATACTTGCTGTCTGTTATCATGTTTTATTTGCTCCCAAACACTTTGTCCATTTCCACTATAGCACTGGAAAATGCTGGATATATATTTTACATGTATGTCCAGCAGGAGTTATGGAGACTTTGGAAGTCATCTAAAGATGGGCAGAAAGCAGATCTTGATCTAGTAAATCTCTGGGTGTTATGCAGAAGATTGGCAAGGGTTTTTGATGACAATCGTTTAACAATAGCTGCCACAAAATCATACTGCGGAAATGAAGACAAACATTTGGTTGTCCACTGTACAAAAACAATGCTGGACTGGATGCACCTTTGATCCAGCTCTGCTCTCCTTGTACATAAATAATGTGTACACTTGTAAAGAAGTTCTTATAACGAAACTCTTCCTCCCTTTCCATTGGCTTTATTTCTTTTGAAAAAACTACCTCCAATTGCTGTAAGCAGTCATATGTCTCATCATACCTATCAGATTGTCTTTCCCTTCTCATATTAAGATTACAAGTTCTTCATTTTCTTTTCTCCCCCCACCGATCTCCTATTTTAACTGGCTTCCTCTGTCTACTTATCCCTCTCTCCAACTGCACTTCTTCCTCCTTGCACCTTATTTCCACCAACCGTTCCATGTCTCTTCTTTCATTCTTACCCTCCAATCCGTGCCATCATTTGTTTCCTTTTTGCTCCCATCTTCCATTCCTTCTTGTAGCTCGCAGCTAAAGACCACTAGAGTTTGATCTGCTCTAAACTGTCAGATAGTGGTCAATCTGCCCCCTTTATTTCCATCCCTTTTAACCAAAACCGATTTCATTGTGTCTCTACTTCAACTTCCATCACTTCCTATGATTCTTCTACATTATTTGTTTAATTTCTATACCATCTCACAGTTGACACTTTCTGTGTGGTTTACAATCCACCAAACAGGCAAAAATGCAATTAAAAGATCATAAAATCTGAAAAATCATTAAAAAGTTTAAAACAGCTAAAAACAAACAATAATATAGCCCCAAGTGGGCTTGAACCATGACATCATCCATAAATGTGGATGCAGAATACTTTGGTTCAGGCTGTTGTACGTTGGTCCCTTTCCTTCTGGTTCTCAAATTCAAGACAATCCTCTGAAGTGCAGTTCTTTTATGGAACTTAGAGATTAGAGAGCAGTATGACCTCTAAATGAAGTTCTACCAAAGTTGAGAGAGAAGCAACCACTCATGTAAACAGCTGTATCCAAACTGGAAACTTTCCCTCTGCCTCACCCTTCAATAGAGTTTCTGACTCCACCCTCAGGGTGGCTCTTGCTGCTTGATGGCAAAATGGCAGGAATACAGGAGAACCTCTAACTGGGCAGCCTGTTTTTCCCATTGCCTCCTTACTAGATCAAGGACTGAGTCTAACATACTCCTGCATCCCCTTCTGCCCCTTCTATAGTAGGCTGATTATCACATTCTGCCTGAGAAACTTCCCCAAGTAACCTTGAAACTTCAAAAATCTTGCCCTCGCTTGCTCCTTCATCTCCTTCTCAGGATCAGGTAAATCTATATGAACAGTCAGTAATGTGCAAGACAGGTCTACTCTCCTCACAGGCCATATATCAGGATACATAATTTCTCAAAGAATCATACTATTAAAAAACAAAACTACAAGCAACATAACTAATAACTAATCTTTGATAAACCCATTCAAGGAGTTTTCATAAAGTGTTCATTAAGTATCCAGTCTCCAGACAAACCAGATCAGCTCCTTTATCTTCTGTGAAAATGCTGAATCTCAAAACATCATGACTTATTTTATTTTGTGTTTTCATTACTTTTCTTATAAGAAAAGCAACACAGTGCTGTAACAGCTACCATGTAGTAAAATCAAGAAAAGTCAGTCAGTAAGTTTGGAATTCAGATATAACATAGTATATATGAAGAAATGATCTACATATGTTACAGGAGATAGAACACTTGGACTACATTCAAAAGACAGAGCTCCAGTAAGCAGGAGAAGTCAAAAAGGGATGGTGTTCAACACCAGTCATCACATCACTGTTTATTATATTTACAAAGCAACAATCATTGTAGTTACGGGCAACAAGACTGTCAATGAACTATAAGTAACAGGGGAAGTTAAAACAGTCACAGAGCTGTGCACTTTTAGCCTTTAAATACTGTAAGACAAAAAGGATTCTCTCCTAAAGCCTATTTGGGCAGGTCACTGTAGTATTGAAACTTCAAAAAATATCCAAAACTGGAAGATTCAGAATCCTGTATACAGTTTAGAAACACCACCCATCTACTTGTTTAAAAAGTAGGCACGATCTAAGTCAGTAAAGCTAACAAGAACATCTTCTCTACATATATTAGTTTACCATACAGCCAAGTTCAAATACTCTGAGGTAAGTATGCTTATAGGATTGTAGCCTGATATTGGAGGCTTCTAAGAATCCTATGCCCTGCTAGATTGCTGTTAACAAGACAGAAGACGCAATAGAGATGATTTTGCCTCCTGTTCCCCCTCCAAATAATGCCTTCACCAGTTAAATGGCCCTCCAAGTCCAGCCAGCCCACTTATTGGTCGTTGGTGAGGATGCATAATGGAAAAGACAGAATTATGTGCATCCTGATACATCTGCCTATCTTTCCTGCCTGCTGAAATGCCCTCTTTTTGACCACTATGAGGTTATCTGATGCTACTACTGTGACTTATAAAGCAGCCACTGCAGTTCTTTCCATGACATCTGTAAAGAGCTAGGGGAGGGATTGGAGAAAAGAGAACAAAGTTCCCTTCTCAGGAGGGTAATGATCCCTATGGCCCTGGGAGGGACAATTCAAAATATCCTATGATCCTTGGATCACTCTCCAGGGTCAGCAAGATCATACACTTACCATATTATTTTTGCCACAAATGACAAACAAGAATCTGGATTGCTGGATGTTATGACAAAAGGAAAGGTATCCTTATCTAGCAAGGTTAGGCACAGCTTGGGGTGTGCACTGTATCTGAGTCTGCATCAGCAAAGGGATTGGATTAGGAAAGACACATCCTCTTTTATTAGCTGCTTCTGGCATGTTTGAGCCCAAACAAAGCTTCCACATTTACTTTCCACACAAATATTATTGTTATTGTTATTATATTTTTACACGAATGCTGATTTTTTAAAATCACTGTCTATCCTTAGGCAATATTTAAGCCATCATTATGCAACATGGCAATCTAAATTAAAAGTGTACCAACGAAAGTAAAGTCACTTGGATACAGAAAAGTAATCCATGATGCTAAGAAACTCTATAGCATTACATTTCCACATAAAATAAGTGTTTAAAAAACAAACAAACCCAAGACCAGCTTTCTGAGGCTTATACACTTCTGAATTATCTATGCAAATAAATTCATTAATCTTCTTGACACAAGCCAAGCAGTATTTGATCTCTTTGATTAAGTGGACAACAATCTAATTCCAAACTCTCATTTCACATTTAAGCCATTTCTGCAATTAAATTATTAATATGAACCACATCTCTGTTGACACATTTTATGTTTTATTACAACACAAATACATTATATAAAGCAAGTGCCATGCTTTCATATGTTATGGGATACCATTTTATGTTATCTGAAGAAAGCCTCTGAAAGACTGAAAGGTTTAGGCTGATGACAAGTCCCAAAACCAAGAAACCCCATGAAACCCACAGCAACAAAATATTACCCTTACCAATATAATCATAAAATGTTGTCATTCTTTCAGTAAGATCACAGTACTTATCTAAATTTTTGCTGGTGTTGGAATTTGAGGTATAAGCATTACTGCCTCAAACTAGCAAACACTGATACATAATGATGAATATACTGAATTGTTTACACTTACCTGTGGACATAATGTAACTGATGTACAGAATCAATTGCAACCACCATTTCAGCCAAATAAAAGCGAGCCATTTCTTCAGGCAGTCTGTCCTCAAACTTACTCAGCAATGTAAGCAGATCTCCACCAACATAGTAATCCATAACCAGATACTAGAAACAAGCAAACAGGAAACAGCTTTACTAAATTTGGAAAGGAATGGGATATACAACAAAAGTAGAGTGGACCACAGGATGGTTGCTGAAGTAATGGTGTCTTCCTGCATACTATTCTACAGCAGAAACAAGAGTACTGAAAATACAAAAATGCTGGGTCAAGACACTGGGTCCCCAGCTATGGGAAAGTCTTTTTTTGTAGTCACCATGTCTTGTGCTCTCCCAGTTATGTCCCTCAAAAGTGGCAATGTGGGAGAATGGGACACAGCTGCATCACCGGGCTGAGTGGCTTGGGCTACTCAAGACTGAGATGAGGTCAGAAGTGCCATTCCTTATTTAAAAGCAACTTCAGATTTTAAATGCTCTGAGTATAAAACTCCACTGCAATATGTACCTTGGAAAACAATCACAAAACACTTTCTGTGTTTAGATTTAGAGATCAAATGAGGACTAAGAACTCCAGGAAAAGAAACACCACTATTCAATACTACAAGTTAAGAAAACGAATTAACTTCATATGGTACATTTAGGAAGTACTCACTAAATAGTTTTCATCCTGGAAGGCATAGTGCAGTGTTGTAATCCATTGGTTATCTCCATTCACCAATACATCCCTCTCTTCTCGAAAACAAGCTGTCTGGAAAGTTAGAAATATGATGCTTTAGGTGCACTTTACAATTATATCAAAATGGATTATTAAATAAATGTAATGAATAAATATATTTAAACAGCAATCTAGTTGTTTGGAAAAATAGGATTACAAAGGGGTCACTTATCCTGAAGCTAGCACAGTAACCTGATTGATGTGATATTGCACTAGTCCTCAATTAAACTGGACTAGAACCTGGGCATTTTAAATTGCATTTAATTTAAAAGCAAAAACTTAAACAAAAACTGTTTGCTTTGTTTCTACTGGACATGGCAACATCTCTTTAATGAGTGTCTAACTCAGTTAATTGCTGGTGGTGTAATACAGCTAATACTTCTAACAATAAAGTTCCCCTGGGAGGGGCATTACTACACAAATAATTTTTGTACTGGAATAGACTTCACTGATGCACATGCTCTTATTAACTGGCTTCCCAGAAATTAAATGGTCAGCATACATGGATTCTCTGTGCCCTTTTGACAGCTAAAAGACTGACATTACAACACTGGAAGACAAAATAATGACCTCATATATAATAATAGACTGAGGACCGTCCAACTCTGAGGAGGAGAATAAATGGGACCAACAAGTGGTATCCCACTAAATGTGCTCATGTAAGAACCACTGGTGTTGGCCCTATTTGCTCATTTCCATTCTGCCACCTGTGAGGATATTTGTTTTTGGGTTTTTTTTTCCCCCCAAAAAACTGTTGGGAATATTTGCACAAATTTTTGACTGAGAAATATACCAGATGTAATGACTGAGAAGCAGGCAGAAGGGAAATCTGTGCATCTGCATTGATGATTCCATTACTGTGCACATTTTCTTCCCATTTACTTCCCAGCCCTTTTCAGATTAAAGGGTTTCAGACCCTTTAATCTGAAACATCTTCCTCCATTTACTTTGTAGATATTAAATCTGCATTTATTTCTGCCAAAGAACCACAGTAAGAGCAGTAGTAAATACTGCAGGAAGGATGGAATGCTCATATATCCCCTTTCTGAAGTACCTGGAAACTTGGGGATGTGTTGGAAAGGAGAAAAGCACTAAGAACATTTAAAGTTGTATCATATTGCTAAGTAGGTAATATTGTCCCCATCCCCTTTTACCACCTCCTCCTCTTCCATGAATTCCAAATGAAAACTGGGCAAGTGTTTCCTAGCAACTGTGTCCAAATACACAGTCTCACCTTTAGTAGCTCAGCTGCCAAGTAAAACTCACAAGGACACCATCAAAGCAAGAAAGACTACACATACCAAATAGACTTAAATGTGCACTTGCGACAAAGGAAATAACAGCAAAATATGTACCTAGTTGCACAATTTTCAGGAGCTGAAATAATAATAAGCCAATTAAGCTTTTTTTAGGCTCTGGAAACAGAAAAAAACCCTGGGGAATGAAATAGGTAGTGATTGCAGCAATGAGTAGGAGATAAGTTCTGTCTCCCAAAAGAACACGGTGGGATGTTCATGGAAAAACCCACACTATATAGCTTACTCATATAGCCCATTATTCCCAATTGCTAAACCAGCCTTTTAAATGTGTTGTACTGCAACTTCTATAGTCTACAGTCAGTTAAGCTATTGTGAGTAAATCATGAGAAAACACTTCCATCCCTTCCACTTCACATCCTAATTGTGGGAAGTTAAGAAGGCTCCAAATCATTAAGTAGGAACTTTGATTGCTTAATACTGCTGCCTACATATTAAAGGCTGGAAAGTGATGGAGCTGAGCTCCAGAAAGAAAGGAATATATGATCCTGAATGTTGCATTTCCAATTCCTTAACTAAAGTTAATCCACCAGGGTAAATATGTTTACACTACTCTAAAATCAGCAATATATTTTGGAATGGAATTTTTATCTCAAAATCTAATGGAACCTTGTTACCAATTTTCTGTGAGCCTCCTCAGGCTCAGTATAATGTGAAGGCTTTTATCAATATTCTCTTTATAAATAAACAGATAAACTTGTTGTGTTCAGAACACAACACAGAATTATTCCAATTACATTAAATCCACAATTATTATTCACATATTAACAATCAACAAAAAGCAACCTATCTCTGCCTCACAAGATGTGTTGTAACATCGAGGGATAAAAGGCTCCAGTAAGTGTGGTGTACTGCATTCTTCCAATGTCTAAGCTTTGAGAGAATCTGGCAGCATGGTAGTGGGCAATGCATGTCAATAAGCAAGATTTTTTTTAAAAAGTTGAGCTTTTGCATCATAGCCCACTGCATGATATCAAGTGCAATCCAAGAGTCACATGCTGCGCTGGCTTGCTCTTGTATGGGCAATTAAAACCCATTAGCTTTAGAAAATCCTATTCCTGATGCCTGAATCTTTGGACTTATTTTTGGGGTACGGCTATGGGGACTGTTTAGCTGAATGCTTACACTTCAAAAAATTTTACTACAATACTGCACATACTTTTTCTGAACTTGTATTAACTAGAACTATTATTACAGCTTGGTAGTGATTTCTACAAATAAAATGTATGCTGTGTGAAGCAGTACTTTGTACTCTGTCCTGAATCTACTGACAAAAGTTTCAAAGGATGACCTTAGTGTTATAGGATTAACATTGGCCACAATCAGTACCAAAATAATGTGACTTGCATGACAGTTAAACCGGAACCACAGAAGAAAATGTGTTTTCCTTCCTTTTCAAAAAGATCCAGGAATAAAACCAATTTAAGACAGTAATTCCATGTACTTTAAAAATGTAGCTTTAAACCACCAGACTTCCCTGAATCTTCACCATGGGAAATTGCTTTTGAAACTGAAGAAATGTTCAAAGACAGTTTGTGATTCCATATGTGTGTCAGCTTTTCAAAGATAAAAAGTTAACTAATTTTTGGTATCTATTTTCAGCGAATCCAGTAATCTAATCCTATGCATGTTTACTCAGCCATGCCCTCTTACACATGCTTAGATTCAAACTTATGTTGGCCGGAGAATGCTGAGCGCTGCAAGATAAACACATATAGGACCGTGACCTTAGTAGACAATAAACCTCCTATAGTGCAACTTACTTCCAATAAAAATGTATGGAACTCTGCTGTAACAGTCCTTTGGATCCTGATTAATGCATCTAATTAATGAATATGCTAGACTTATTCTAGCCAGTTGTTATAAGCCTCTATATTTAACAAGGACCAAGTGCATTATTTTTCTTATAGCATTACTTACTGCAATTCATAGTTGTGGAATGTACTGCAATATAGATTTAGTCGCATTTTTGCATCCCACTGTTTATATATGGATGGAGTCTAAATATCTATAATGCCAATGATTAACTAGAAAATGTATCATCTGGGGAAGACCATTTTAAGAGAAGTTAAAATTTCATGGGAGGGTATCTGTCTATATTTTATCTATATGTATAGATGGAACATAGACATACTCCTTATAGTTAATTACTTTCACAACACAACAAAACTTCATATCACTTCCTATATTAAAAATTACTAACACATATTAATCTAATGTGTCTTTGTAAATTTTGAAGCTTTTTATTCTTGTAAAGTCATTTGAAGAAAACTGAGACTTGGAAGGGCAACAATGCAGGAATGAGAAAAGATCAAATGTAGGAACATTTCACTGGAGACCAAAGCCAAGAACATCCACACAACTGTATTCCCAATCACAAAGCTAGAAAGCTGCACAGTGAAGAAAGATGATGGGAAGAAAAAGGATGTGCTCAAAACATGGTGCTAGAGGAGACCTTTGTGAATTCCCTGGACCAACAGAAAAACAAACTAGATCAAATCCAGCCAGAATTCTCCCTAGCAGCAAAAATATGAAAACTGAGACTGCCATACTTTGGGCACATCATGAGAAGGCAAATCTCCCTGGAGAACACAATCATGCTAGGGAAAGCTGAGGCAGAAGAAGAAAAGGAATACCAAATATGAGAAGAATTGACTCTATAAAGGAAGCCACAGTCTTTAATTTACAAGAGCTGGGCAGGGCTGTCATGAATAGGACATTTCAGAGGACTTTCATTCATAGGGTTTCCCTAAGTTGGAGACAACTTGATAACACATAACAACAACAATATTAGACAAACTGTGCTATACAGAAGGAAAGAGAAACAGAACTAGTTTTTTTAACAGAATGTGACCAATGCAAATTTGTTTGGAAACTTTTTTCCTATTAAACTAAGACTATTAAGTTTTATACTAATAAACTTAACAGTCTGAATATATAGTTGAATCTTACCTCAGCTCTTTTCAGCATCTCCCATTTATTTAATATTTTCATGGCAAATACCTTATCTGCATTTTTCAATTTCACTACTGCAACCTGTAGAGATAAAATTAGATTTTAAACAAAGATTTGTGTTACCCAAGTTTCAATACAATTCATTTTCACACAGTCTTACTGCAAATGGCACATGGGTAGCTTGCCATGACATCTAAATCTGAAGCATTTTTTCAACATTTGTTGTTTTCTATGAACAAACCACTCCGGGGATGCATGGCTTGCTGTTCAGGGAGACTTGACTTTATCTCAACCTAGCGGGTGACTTCCTAATGGGAATGGACAGAGTGCCACCAAGCAAGATTCGCAGAACTCACTTCTCTTCCTTTCTATTGCCACTACTATTCTTCTTCATTCCTTTTCAGTATCTTCTACTGGGTAAAGCCTACACCATATTCCTAAAAACTGGAAAAAAAGGACACCCGAAAGTGTTTTAAACAAGTTTCCAACCTAGATATTTTACTTTACATGGGTGTACAAAAAGTCTACTTCAATAAAATATGGCTCATTATCCTGTGTACCATGAAATTTGCCAGTACCTACTGAGTCACATCGCTTGACTCAGTGAAGTTCTGCCTTGAAACTTGAGCATTTTTAACCAATACCCTTCACTGCTCTGGAAGATAGCTATCAACAGAATCCAATGGAAAGATGCAAAAAGCACAAGTGGGGGGAAAGTATACGCAGCTGGCGGCTGTAGGAGAAGGAGCTTCTCAGTCAGGTGTTTTTGATTCAGTACTATCGGAAGCAAGCCTTTAAAAAAATCTACCTAAGTGGAGGATTAAATTGATGTACATTAACAGAAGTAAGATATTGGTACTTCGGGCTACATTGCAGACAAAAGGCAATTCTACTCCAGTGCACTTCTATCAGACCCTGAATAATGTTTTCATAAAGGTCTGTGAATGCATTAGAACATCCATATGGGCTAGAAAAATTAAGTGTATTTGGCAATCTGATATCGGAGTTGAGAGAAAAGTTTCCGTCAGTGGCCAACAACCTCAGTGGGTCAATTGTAGCAAGGGTGCTGACTTAAAGACTGTGGATTTTTGTAGGAACTAGGCCCACTTCTCCTAAAATTCTGCCTTCCAAGGTACATGCCTCAGAATCTTTAGCTGCAATGGAAAGGCCCAAAGGCCCACAACAGATAAGCCAAATGACCAGTCAGAACTAGACCATGTCTGGTTATGTGGGAAATGCTATTGAACAGGCAGAGTAAAATAGATTAACACTGTTAATGGATTTAACACTGTTAATCTTATCATATGGTGTCAGATCAAATTGGCAAACCAACTGGATAGTATCAGACATTTCCACCAGTTGGTCCACAACAGTATGAACTACGCTGAGGATAGAACTAATACCTTTTGGTTGGGAAGGGAGAGGAATTCAGTTTGGAATCAACTTCTTATTAAGCCAGAATTTCCCTAATGGCTAACTTCAATGGTATCTTTTGCTAATGAACAAGTATTGCAATACACTCCTTTTGTATCTTCAAGCCAGCCTAGCTGGCTAGTTACTTAGAAGGTGTTTGTCCTAATCTACCTGGAAGGAGAGGTGAAAAGATCAGCTCAGGACCATATTAGCCTCAACAACACCTGTAGTAAGTGCTGGGAGTGTGCAACAAGCCATGGAAAGTTGCAAAGTGATTGCCTGTTGGGGATAATGTGCAAACCCACTATAGCTTAATCTTTAGTGTGATTTAGCTTAAGTTCCAGAGAATAAACTGTATAGCCCTCAAATACCTGGCTTTTTCCTTTTAATAATTTCGCGATTTTGCAAACATTGCTAAAAGTGCCTTCTCACTGGCTGTCCCAAGGCTTTGGAATATCCTTCCTAGGAAGACTAGGCTGGTGCCTTCCCTGTCATACTTTTGTAAAGAGGCTAAAACCTTTTTATTCCAGCAGGCATTTGAGTTTTGTAGTGTTTTAAGGTATGCAGTGATTTAATTTTAATATGCAGCTGATATAATTGTATTTTTAACTTTTGTATACTTTTGAATGTTTTAACTCTTTGAATTTTAATTGTTGTGAGCTGCCTAAAGTCTGATAACAAACAGTAATAACAGTAGTGGCAGCAGCAGGAACAGCAAAGCATCCCACAAGTAATGAAATGCAGGTTTCACCATCCCCCACTCTGGCCCAATATATTTGTGGTCCATGCTTACCAAGCTCATTTTCCAGGTGTCTCAAAAGGGTCAGTTTCTTTATAAACTTCTTGTAATTTGTTTGCTAGGCATTTTAAACGTAAGGTTTGCTTCTCACTGGGTTGTCATCTTAGAATTTGTACTACAGTTGATATAGCAAACATATGCTAAATTTATAGTACAGAATGCTGTGATGACACACAACTTACAAGTCAATTCTTTGTGCTAAGGTTATGGAAGCAATGTTGATTTCTTATTAAAATATTACTAAACCAAAACTAAATGTCAGCTTTGGATTTGCTGCCTGAATAGAGGAAGTTGAGACACAGAGATGGATTCCATAAAAATGTAATGCAGCATATACCACATACACCTAGTGGGAAAAAGCCCCACCAAAAACAGTCAAGCTTTTCACACCATAAATAGGTGTATAGCTTTGGGCTACACATACACAAGTTTCTATCTGCACAGAATTGTTTCATTACTCGTTTGCTTAGGCATATCTTACTCTGCATAGGATTGGGTAATTTGCCTATACAAGGCAAACCCTATCTTTCTAAGGTGTTGCCTAAAAGGCACTGTGAAAAAGGCATAAGAAACAGAAGAACTAAGAATGCCTACTGAATATCATTCATTTTGAAATGGAATGCCAGGGCCTCTTTCATTACACCTTGGGGACAACAGTTCATTGGCTACAGCAGATGTGTTCCATGTCACTCCAATATGGTGAGCTTTAGATTAAGTCCAGATTATGCAACTATCTGACAGCTTTTTAACAGATCAGACAGTATATTAATTCTACTAAAACAAGTAAGAGAGAAAGTTGTATGCTATGATTAGTCTTCTTGCCCAGCCCTTGCCTTGTTTCTTAAAACAAGATGCTAATAGAATGAGGAGGTGGAGAAAGTGTTAATATTTGTACCTAACCCAGAGGAGCTATGAAAGAAGAGTGACATAGAATCTCTTGTTGCATCTTATACTGCTGGTCAATTGATATCCCACCCAGCTGTGTGCATACTGTGGAATTATCTTTCTGTCTCTGAATCTTTATGCCATTTTTTCAGGAAGTCTCATAACAGGATTGCCTTTCACATACACCCAGCTGTCAACAATCAGCTTCACCTATGTACACCTATAATTCCTTAAATATTGCCGGTAACAGAATGACACTGCTACCCAAACACACAAACACTGCCCTTTCACTGTAAGAAAAGAGAACGCAATTCATCTTGCAGGTATGGAATACATACTTTGAATCCTTGATGGCAAGTTTTGTCATGTGATGGTGCCTTGACTTACCCTGATGAAGCCTTTCTCTTATATCATCTATGGCACCTGTGGCCCCACAGATCTTTCTGGACTACCATCCTAAGCAAACTAGCACATTTGATGGAGGTATGTGCAAAACCTTTCTCTAATATACATTTCACTCCATGATCGAAGTTCTTCTCATCTGCACTCTGAAGCACTATGCAAAAGGTGCATGTCTCATGTTATCACTTCATTTTGCATGTATGTCTTGTAAATGGGAAATAGCAACACATACCACACATTATGAAACCAAACAATTATGATTATAATGTACAGAAACATAGATCAACTTTATTTTATTTCTAAGATGAAAATAAACAATTTAACTGAGAGCTAACCCTCACAACAGAACTCTAGCATAATCTTGTTAGGATTTTGGCTTCTACCCAAAAGTGAAATCATTACTTTCTAGTCCTCAGAAATATGGCCTATTAACACCGAGGATCACCTTGCTTCTTAAAGAAGTACACATTACTAGACTAGCTCCAAAGAGCCCTCCTGAGCAGTACTGAGAAACCCCTGCATCCCAGTTCCTTCCCATGCTATGAAGGCAACATTAGAAGCTCTAGTCTAGACCATATGACTCTGCCCCATGCCAGCAGTGCCTAAGTTTCTAGGAGAAGCCACAAAACAGGCTCCATCACCTCCCACATGGCTAGGGAACCATCACGAAGAGGAAAGCTACCACACTGTAGCAGCTCCAGTTCCACTAATGTAATTAAGCTGGACTGGGCTCCAAGCTAGGTTTTTTGCTTTAGTTCCTGCAGCACTCTTCTAAAGATTTCTTCCTGGGAGACTTAAATCATATGAAAGATCTGATAATTCTTATTTAAGGTTTTATGGACACTGTATAATAAAGAGCCAGACTGCTGTAGTGGATTTTTTCTTCTCATGTTGGATTCTTGGAAATTTGGGAAATTTTAAAATAAGATTTCGTCCCAAGCTCACAACCAATATGTAAATACACTGAAAACTATAGGTGCCTATATCAGCTATTTCCATACTACCTTTGTTTGCTAAGGAACACAACCCACCAACTTACAACAAAAAATATTATTTTTCTTTCTACCTGGATTACATGCCAAGAAACTGTCTAAGATGGTGTTCAATTTACCCTTTTGGCCACTGACAAAAAGCAAACAGAATAATAAAGAAGGGCTGAACCTTGCACCTCTGTTGCTGAACCTCCAGTCTGGCTATGAGCCAAAGAATGTGGAGTGCGGTCCTACAAAAGATGATAGCTTGACAAAAGAAATGACATACAAGGCTCTTTCATGAGCTCAAGCAAATATATCAAACTAATACAGTATTCTAAGTTTTTATAAAAGTGTAAGGAATGACTTGTAACACACAAACTTGAATGCAGTACTTATTCCTAGAATTGCTATAATATAATGATTGGCTCTGGCCTCTTTCACAATCCTGCACTTGTAAAAAATAAAATAAAATCCAGGCATGTGTAAAAATGAGAGGACAGCAGACAAAATTGTTTAATTGTTTCATTTTATCTCTGTTTTGAAAGTATTCCTTTCTTTCACCAATAAGAGTTATACTTAATATATTTCCCATATACATATAGAACAAA